ATTCATGTAGCCAACGGAAGCGCGAGCAGAGAGCTGGCAGAGAGACCGTTAGCACCCGTTTACACGACTTCTGAACAGATGAACTGGGTGCACACTGTAGACCAGGGACAAGCATATGTCGCAGAACGAGGGGGGTCCTATTTGGCCCCTCTCGGGAGGAGAGGGTTGTATTTGCACAGGTCATTTCTCAAAACTGCAGCGACATAGCCTGCAGAATTTGATGATATGCTCGGCAATGAAGTCGATACTTGACGAATTTCATGGAGGGGTACCTGGTCAGCACCTCTGTCCTCCTTACCGCACAAGGAGGAGAAGGTGTATCGGAAGCATATGAGCTACTTTAATGGAACGTGTGGACTTTGTAGAAAATACATGATGCAACTGAAAACTAACTTTCAAATGGAAACTCGACGGGCGAATTTTCGCCAATTAATTGAGCTACAGCAAAGATGTAGCATTCGCTGCAAAGAGGAAGGATTGCTATGCCACGTACATCTCCCTCTTCATTACGTCTGAACGAAGTTGTGGCCTTTGAAAGGTAAAAAACTCGTGTTTGCCAGAAGTTCTCAGCTTTGATTTCTGGCCAGAAGCCGCAACGCAAGCCTGGTAAACTGTAATGTGTTTCGCATAGAGCTGCCCATACAACGAATCGTCCTTTACCCGCTTTGCGAAAACCTTTTCTGGATGAAGGTATACCCTTTAAACAAATACTATGTGGATGCAATGGGTCGACAGCCCTCCAATCTTAATACGCCACACAGCCGCTGTAGCTCAGTTCCTCGCCTTCTTGCTTCGTTTGAACGGCATCATTGCGGGGTTTCTTCGAAGCTCCCTACATACGGTACACTACTTCTGAAAAAACGAATCTCTCAATTCTTCAGCGCTTCTGTTCAAGTTGTTCAATGAATGTTTCCCAGATACTCAGACACTAGTGAAATTCACATAAACTACACAACACATGCAGCTACATCCTGATAAGTCTAGCATATGCCTTCAAACATTCCAGAGGGATGTATGGACACCCCTTTATTTGAGGGGGGGGTCATATCAAGCCTCCATTTTTCGCGAACTGATGCTTGACCCTGTTTCATTAACCCCAGTCGCTCCGGAGAAGCGCGGGCCAAGATTCTGCTTGAAGTTTGGAGTGTAAGTTCGATCTTCGAGGGAAAAGAAGAGGCGGTCGGAGAAGCTAATTTCTTTTAACCTGAAATTCCACCTTAATCGTTGAAAAATCAGCATTGATTTGCCAAAAAGCTAAACAGTTTTTAGACGCAGTTACAGATGGGGGAGGGGGCATTTTGCACTTTCGTTGCTTCACTAGTTCTGGTTACAAGTCTCACTCTGGTGACCTGTGAACTCTTGTGGAACTGGAGCAAGCTCGTTAAGCCATCATGGTGAAACCTGTCAACTCAAAAGGAGGCTGTCTAGACGGGTCGGCACTTTAAAATGCAAAATGCCCCTTTCTCGTAGAACATTTAGTCGGGGCAGTTGGGGATTTTTGTCATGTCCGTGCAATTCTCTTCCTGAAAAAAAAGGCTCTTCACGAAACTTTCTCCTCTGTTTACGATATTTGTTTGCCGATCCTCTAATAATGGATGCAAACAAACAAAAGAAAACTGAATGAATTTTTGTGGGTCGCAAAATGCAGATCAAGTGCAAACATTGCGAATAAGCATTAAAATAAAGCAAGAAGCGAAATTGGTACATGAGTTATCAAGACCGCACCTCATGTGTATGTCTTTTTGTTCAACACCAAAACTTCTCAGAGGCAGTTGGCCGCGATGGCGATGTTTCTACTCGGTCCTGTAACTGTTAGCCCTGTATAGTGGGGAAATGGCGAAAGAACGGAGTGAAACGGTCAAAATCCTGCGAAGAAAAAGCCTCGTTCTCAGTGACTTGTGAAAATCGATTTCGGACGAGTTTCCCGTAGGCATCTTGCCAATCACCGCTACCGAAGATACGGCTGCATATTTGTACCCGTATATGCATGCAGCATCACGGCCGCTTCATACCAATCCCTTCGCTTCATATTTGCTTACCAGGAAAGGTCAACAGGTCGCCATGGCCATTCAGGATGAGATGCATATTGCCGTGTGCGTCTTGGGGCACTGGACTCAAATCTGGTTTCAGAATTTGCTGAACGATCCTCTAGGAGGAGTTAGGGGAGGGGTCGTTCTAGCATAGCACTCGCCGATCCTCCTTTGCGTAGCTCACGTAAAGTTCGAATACATACAGTCCCAACTGGTCGATGGTTTAGTGGATAGGTTGTTTCATATATGAGAGGTCATGGTTCGGTTCCTTGACAAGCTCGCGTTTTTGCATTCTTTCGGAACATCTCTGCGAGTCCAGAGAATACTTCTTTCCGTTATTTTGTCATGCTTGCTCTTGCTTACAGCAGAAAAAGATTTAAGTGCCGGCAATTGTGCTTCCCTTTCAAGACTTTTGGGGCAGTATTTACCCTTTACTGCCCAAATCACCCGAAATCAGGCCAGTTTTTGACCGACTTTTTTCTCCGTGAGCAGAATTGGCTGAAAAGTTGCCTACTAGGGTAGTCTGCACTACTGAACATGATTACCACAACCGCTCGGCACGAAACATCCCTGCCACACAAGGCTTTCAATGTCAAAATCCCTAGATCACCAAGTTCGCTGGAAACTTGTCATCTGGGGTAGTTTGACCTCCTGGACACAGAAATCCCATTAGCTGAGCCCGGAAATGCCTGGCGCCGGCGCCAATACTCGAACCACCATAATCACTAAACTTTTCAACTGGAGCAGTTTGACCTTCTAAACACGAGCATCATATCCGCGTGGGGCGTTGAGAATGTTTGGGATAAAGAAAAACGGTAATGATGTAACCTGCGTCCAGCACCCCTCCTCATGAGGCCCTTCCTCTGTATGGCTGAGCCTTAGCAAGAGAAGGATCTCTGTGACTGGCAACTAGGAAGAGTAGTGCGTTACTAAGAACAAGCATGTGATGGGTCGCTTGTGGCTTACGCGTCAGGCGTTTCAGAAAGTTTGGATGAGATATTTGTGTACAGGAGGTCAAAATACCCCAGTTGACAAGTTTTCCGAGCGAACTTTGCGTGATTTAGGGTATTGGCGCTGTGCTGTGAGGCAACGGATTTTCGTGCTGAGAGGATAGCGCTGGATTATGAATCAGAAAAGGGCAGACGACCATAGGGGAACTTTTAGCCAATTCTGCCAGTAAATGGTAAACACTGCCCAAAAGTCTTGAAAGGGAAGCACAATTGCCTTCACTTAAGTCTTTTTTTACAAGAGCAAGCATGACAGAATAACGGAAAGAAGTATTCTCTGAACTCGCAGAAGATGTTCCTAAAGAATGCAAAAACGCGAACTTGTCAAGGAACCGAACCCATGACCTCTCATATATGAAGCAACCCACCTATCCACTAAACCATCGACCAGTTGGGACTGTATGTATTCGAACTTAACTTGAGCTACGCAAAGAAGAATCGGCGAGTGCTATGCTAGAACGACCCCCCCCCTAACTCCTCCCAGAGGATCGTTCAGCAAATTCTGAAGGCAGATTTGACTTCAGTGCCCCGAGACGCACACGGCAGTATGCATCCCATCTTGAATGGCCATGGCGACCTGTTGACCTTTCCTGGTTAGCAAATGAATGAATACGAGCGTCAGGAACGGTCGTCCGTCTGTGAGCGGGCGGGCGTGGGCAGGCGTTTGGGTCGGAAAGTTGTGGCTTGATAAGACTCATAGGTACCCTCCTCGAAAGCCGCGGAAAGCCGCTACAGCAGACGCCTGCCGCAGGGTCGGGCAGAAATTCTATCCTGCCGGGAGGCAATTGATCCTGGTCGTCTTAAGGAAATTTGGCTGCCAAATGCCTTAAAAGAGGAGTACGGAACCAAAGAATGCAGTTGAGTAAGAAACATTCCTTCTTAAAACGCTTATACGAAAATGTTAAGCCGACGATTTGATAAACATGCAGCGCTGGAAAAATCCATCGGCATTTTCGTCACTAGAGTTTGTGGTCTGATGGATTTCTCATTGTGCAATTGCTTCCAATGCCAATAACTGTTTCAAAAAAAAGAGGAATGATCTACAAATTTCTAGAATCACTTGGATTTTTTGCGAAGCTTCCGGGGTTCGTGATTAATCATTGAAGATTGGTAGGTGAAACTTCAAGCTGTCCAGAGCACCTATTCACTGTGAATGAGCATGTTTAAATGCACCCAAAACGAACTCTTCGTGGAGCGATGTAGAGCAGATGTAGGATTGTTTTTAAGTTGTAGCATTAGTTAGTTCTGGATGCACCATGGACTGGGTCCCCGCCACAAAGATTGCAGTTCAGAAAGGTCCGTGGCTTACCTATAGACTTGTTCAATGAGTACTGTTCAGTACTTACGAACACAGGCTAATTCATTAATACTGTCAGTTAATCATTTTAGCTTTTCGTGTTGTTCTTTCACACACCAGGGTGTTCTGCAAGTATTTTTTGATAACCAGAACTTGGCGATACTAACCACTTTGCGCTGTTTGTTGCTGACTACTCTCCGCTTATAATGTGGCCTCTCTCCTCACCCAGCTGCCAAATACGATTTCGGTTGAGGTGTGGCCAGCCCCTCTTTCCAAACGAGGTTCCTTCAACGGATATTCAATCCCATTTCCAGGTGATGTACCGGGTACAGGGCACATCATGCGTTGGGGTTTTGGTCGAGTCCGTACAGCACTCCCCCCCCCCTCTCTATGAAAGGACATGTACTTTTTGCGAAACATAGGGGAGCAAGTCACTAATCTTCCTGGGCTTCGTAGCACCTTCCAGCACTGAATGCCATCAGAGGAAGTAGCAACAGGCTTCTACACATCATCACAAGCAACTTTAGCTACTCTGCGGCTTATCTGGCACGGTTCACAGTTTTCCAACTGTTGAAGTTTTACTTAGAGAAAATGAATTTCAACGCTTCATTTTGAAATAAATTTCAACGCTCCATTTTGAAATAAATAAAGAGAAAAAGAGCACACTTAGCGGAATGATTGTCTCGCCTCTTTAGCCGAAGCCATACAAAGTTCTCTCCTCGGCGCTTCAAAGCGTAGACGACATCCAAAGTGTGTGACAGTCCTTCGTCTGGCATTTTCACAATAGGTAACAGCGTCGCTGATGACGGACGTCAAGAAATCTCGCAGAGCATCGCGAGTCTCTTCATAGACGAGGCCGGATATTCTTTTCACTCCAGCACGACGATGGCCGGCTTCCCTGATTCCACGGATGTTGGCGGCGAAGATCATCTTTTGTCTACGCTTATGTGCTGAACCAATGCCTTTGCCGCGAAGGTGCATTTGCTGGAAAATGAACATCACCGGAACGGGATTAACAAGGTCGTTCAGGGCGTGGTGAGCTTTCTAAAAATGGTCCTGCTGATTGTAGGGGCTCAAGGACCTGAAGAAGTGAGCTTCATTTTCTCTGCGCTCTTCCAGGAAAGGCAAAAAGAGCGGAGAGAAATCCATGGAAATTTCCCAGCTTAGGCCTCCATGGCCTGTAAAATCACTTAAAACTTGGACCGCAGTCGCTGAGTGGATGGTTTGTTATTAGAGGGGCCATTGAAATTGGACGTGAAAAATCGTCGGCAAAATGGGGATTTCCAAACTTTGGTCCACGTGCTGCAAACTGGAAGCTCCTTGGAATGGTTTAACTCCATGATAGGAGGCGATATTCAGCAGGAGCGATCGATGGCCCTAAGTTAACAGCAATGGGCGATTCTCAATACAGACAGCGAGGACGGCTTTAGGTTTTCATAAAAGTCGGAAGGAAGCCGATAGTGCAGCTCCTCTCTCGGTAGGGGAAAGACATACGCGCTTTCTCTGAATGATTAGACGGTAGAATCGGACAGTCCAGAATACATACTTTCTTAACTTCCTGACGGATGCCACGCATGAATAGAACTTGTTTGGCACTGACTGATGACACGATTTTTCGCGCGTTGCCATCGCATTAACGTGATCGCTGTTAGCGCGTTCATACTTCGCGACCGGCAATGGCGATCGCCGCGATAAAGTCGGGTACGCATTAGAGCGTGCCCCAGCGCTATTGCGTGGACCCCTAATTAGAGAAACTGGTCGATATTCCTGCTTTTTTTCTCTTGAAATTGCAATGATTCAGTACATAAGTCCGTTATGACTCAAGGAATGTCTGATGAAACTTAATGACTCTTTTTTCTATTTTCTTTTTAGATTCATGATAGAAATGAGCAAAAAGCAGGGGGCTTCAAATTTAATATAACTTCCTTATGTTTCTTTTTCATTTCTTTGAGCTTATACATAAAGTTTTTCATCCGTTGATGCTGCAAAAAGAACTAGCGATCGCTAGTTTGAGTTCCTCTCCGTTCTTTTCTTTTCTTTTCTTTTTATGTCTGAACTTGACTTGTAAACAGAAAATTCTTTTTTTGTCTGGAACTTAACTTGTAAACAGAGAAATGTTTTGAAGTTGAACAGTTTGGGCAGTAAGGAAAAGTTTTAAAGACACAAATTAAAAACAAAAGAATCAAAGAGAAGCCAATTACCTATTAACCTCACCTATTAAATGAAGTTACTTATCCCAGCCTAATAAAAGGGACCATCCTCCCTCATATTCGCAGATGCCGCTGAGGTAGAGGAAGTCCTCAGTTTCCAGCTATTTAGCCATTATCAAGAGAAAAAGTGCTATTTTAAGTGGATTCCCTTATCTCCTATTAAAGTCGAGCGTCGCAAGTAATAGCGTTGGCACGCTCTGACGCCTACCGACGATCGCAGCGTTCACAGGAAAACTTGACCATTCACCTATTAATGTTGCTGCGCGAATCATGTAAACCACATGAACATCCTACTATATATAATCTGCTAAGTTTTGTCTGTGTGTCTGTGTGTGTGTGTTGAACCGGAAAATTCATAACTTTCTTCAGAATAGCGCTGTAGCGGCTCAAATTCCATGAGTGATGAGGGGCCGGCGCAGGAACGATTATTGGATGGGTGTTATGAAGCTGATAAAGATACTATACGGGGCTTTTAGAAATGGAAGGTCAACCAAACTTCATAGAGCGAAGTCCACTGCAACCGATGGAGCTTGGTTTTTAAGAAGGTGATGCAGGCGATCGGGCAGGAGCACTAATGGTGCGTGGCAGGACGTGATAACAGCTGATAAGATACCACAAGGAGCCCTAGAACGATAGGGTCGTCAACTCCATAGCACGGGCCACAGCGCGGTAGACCGTTTGTTCTGAGAAGTGATATAGGGGGCAGGATGGAACATTGTTGCTGGGTGGCAGGATGTGATAACAGCTGATAAGATAGCACAAGGAGCCCTAGAACGAGAGGGCCACCAACTCCATAGCGCGGGCCACAGCAACGATGGGGCGTTGGTTCCAAGAGGGAAGATAGGGTGCAGGATGGGAACATTATTGGTGGGTGACAGGCCGTGATAACAGTTGATAAGAAAGCATAAGAGGCTTTAGAAGAGGAGGGTCACCAACTTATTGCGCGGGTCACAGCGCTGGTAGAACGTTCCAAGAAGTAGAATAGAGGGCAGGATGAGAACATCATTGGCTGTGGCCAAAAGTCATAAACACGCTTGATAAGATACCACAGTTGCTTACTTCAGAGAGGAGCCCCTAAAAATGTCATAACAGGAATGTGGATCACTGGGATCTGCTTCTAGCATATAACTCGGAAATTAGGCAACATTGGTTCTACGAGACAAGTTGTGTGAACTCGATTTTGTAGCCCAGAATCAATGGGCACAGCCGTAGTGAGTTAAGATGCTTTTATTCTTCAGCGATGCAGTTGGAACGACAGCTAAATCCACGATTTCGAGAAAAAGTGATGGCTTAAATTGTATGCCATGGAGGAATATAAGAGCCAACAACAGACAGATATGTGAAAGCTGCTCAGCGGAATTACTAGGATGTAATTTCACTAGGATTTTGTTATTGTTACCATCGAATCTCTTTCAAGCGCTAGGCTGTCCATTTTTCAACAAATGGTGGGTATTTTCAGAGTTTGATAAGCAGCCGACACTGGCAAATGTTCAACGAAGAGAAATCTTATACAATAGGCAGTATTTCGAAAAAATGGGAATTAAGCCAAGTGTTAGTGGGCAACACAGTAATCCTGACAGTGACCAGTACCATGTTAACCATGCGCGCAGTAGTGCGCGACAGCCAGACTGGTAGGGAACAGCCTTATCTGATTTCTTTTGTATCTGTTTATTTCCTGAAGTTGCGTTTATGGATCCGCCAAACAATTGTGTGTTACTATCAAGAAAACATCATTAGATTTTCAATTATTGATGAAACCTGCTAAATGTTGCGGATGTACGCTGTAGTAAATCATTTGCTCCAGTCGCAAAGCTATCGGCTAGCAAATGCACGTCCGTGAGCTGCTGAGTCATTCGCCGCGCGACGCGCGCGTGCGCGGGCGCTGCCCCGGACGATTCTGTTGCACGTCTCCCTTTCAACCACAGGAACGCGCAGCGAAAGTGAACCTCTCTTTTCTGGCTCTTGTATGTGCCCTTACAATATGCAAAAGAAACCGTTTCCAAAAACGCACAACGCCCATCCATTGAAGGAATTGTATAGGACTCACCTCCACTAGTTGCAGGAGACTATAGACGGTCCTTTTCTCAGCTATGTCACAGGAATGGAATGAAGGCAGCCACGGTTGGCTGATACTGGTAACTATCTGCGTGGCTCCGCTGTCATCCCATCACAATTAAAAGACAGCTCCCGCGATAAAAGTGTCAAGGATAATTGCTGATCAATTATGAAACAGTAGCTGATAAGTAATTCCTCAATGAAGGGAAAAAAGAAACAAGAGCCCTCAAGAACACCATAAACAAAATCGCGCTATGACAGTCACACCTCCTTGCGGTCTCTGTGCAAGTCCTGGCTCACAAA